AAAAATAAAAACATTTAAAAACTTTTAAACAAAAAAAAAAGGGGGGGGGGTTTCTGTAAGGTAAATAGGGTATCCCTGGTGCATTTTGAGCAGAATTGCTCTAATCTTCCCGTTAGAATATTCCTCTGGCTGGGTTGAGACTTGAGTGATAAATCCCTCTACAGAGCCGGGCATAGAACTTAGTCAGTCCCTCCCTCCCTCATGTTAGCTGTTGGTCCTTACTTCTCCTGGGTTTTACAGCATTTTACACAAAAATTGAGGGTGAGTGGTGCCTGGCCGGCTCAGTCAGAGTAAGAACTACTCAGTAGAATGAGTGCTCTCAGTCAGTAGAGCACTCTTGATCTCAGGGTTGTAAGTTTGAGCCCCACATTGGATGTAGAGATTGCTTAAAAATTTAAAAATTGAGAGTTATATGCTGCTGTACATTCTGGGAAACAAATATTACAGTGTTTAAGTTACTAGTCTTAGAATAAAACAACTTTTTCTCATTAATAGGCCCTTACTTGAAAAGCTCTCCCTCAGACTACTACGCAGCAATACAAAGTAATGAGATGTGTGTGTGTGTGTGTGTGTGTGTGTGTGAGGGAGAGAGAGAGAGAGAACAGTATTTATATATAACAGAGTTAATAGAATTATCAAACTTTTACCTTGATTATTTCTGGGTGCTGGGTTAGAAATTTATTTACTCATTATCTCTGTAATGTTCAAGTTTTCTGTTACAAGCATAAAAGATGTTTGCAATTAGAAAAAGAATAAGATTATTTAAATTTAAAAATGGGGAGGGGGTACCTGGCTGGCTCACTCAGTAGAGCATGCAATTTCTTTTTTTAAATTAAGTAATCTCTATACTCAGCTTCAAATTCATGACCCCAAGATCAAGACCCTCCTGCTTTTCTGACTGAGCCAGCTAAAAGACCAGAACATGTAACTCTTGTCAAGTAGTCAAGAAGTCACCACATTGGGCATAGCACTTAACATTAAAAGTACAGGGGTGCCTAGGTGGCGCAGTCGGTTAAGCGTCCGACTTCAGCCAGGTCACGATCTCGCGGTCCGTGAGTTTGAGCCCCGCGTCGGGCTCTGGGCTGATGGCTCAGAGCCTGGAGCCTGTTTCCGATTCTGTGTCTCCCTCTCTCTCTGCTCCTCCCCCGTTCATGCTCTGTCTCTCTCTGTCCCAAAAATAAATAAACGTTGAAAAAAAAATTAAAAAAAAAAAAAAAGTACATATACATACATATATACATACAATGGGGAGGGATATATATAGTCCCGAAGCAGGCACAGTCACTGGCTTTTCTCCCAGATAGTGATAAATACCAGAAAGGCAGGGTAGCCCAGTCCTTCAGAAATAGCTCAGGAGCAAGATGGCCTGTGAGAACCTCTGAGAGCCTTGGTTTCCTCCTCTGCACAGATGGAATGATACACATTGAGTTAAGGTGTGAAATGTTTGTTAACAATGCCCTTCACATACTAAGTATTCAATTACATAGAAATTATCTTTTGCTATCTCTGGTTCTCTGGGCAGCTCCTCCTCTGGGAGAAGAGGGCAAAAGGAAGGGAATTGGGACTAAAGTCACACCCCTCCAAGGAGAACTGGGCCTGGGGAAGGGGTCTCTGAGGCACGGGGAGAGATTTCACACAGGAACCCTGAGCAGAGACCCCTCTCATTCTATGGCTACCTTTCCCTCTCCCGACTGGGGGTGGGTGTGAGGTGAGGAGGTGGGGACTGGACTTGTTTTTCATGGGAATCCACAGCCCAACTCCAGGGCCCAGCTGTCTAACACACAGGCTAACTTATTCCCCATTACCATCCCTATCACACTCCCTGACTTCTACCCATAATTAAGCCAGACCCCCCGACGTCCTCCATGAGCCTTGCCCCCTTGCCCCTTGCCCCAGCCTTGGTCAGGCAGAAGCAGCCTAAACCACCAGGTACCCACCTGTAATTGGACAAAGTCAGGCTCACTATGCTGGGCACTGAAGGAGTCCCACATATTGGAGGTGTAGGGGTTGTGGAGTCCCTCACCCCAGAGTGCTTGCTTATAGGACTTGAGGGAACTGTGCAACTTGTACAGCCGAAATTGCAATAAAGCTGTGTTTGGCAGGTTGAGAGCAAAGCAGGACTGGGACTGGGGTCCGCTGCCAAGTGGAGCCAGGAAACTAAAATGTTATGATGGATGTGGAATGTCGTCGTGTCCAGAAACCCTTTACCGGAGCGGGCGCCCAGGTTGGAATCCCTGAATATCTAGTCAAAGTGACTTAGGTCCCATGGCACCTGGCTGGTCAGTCAGTAGAGCATGCTATTCTTTTTTTTTTTTTTTTTTTTTTAACGTTTATTTATTTTTGGGACAGAGAGAGAGACAGAGCATGAACGGGGGAGGGGCAGAGAGAGAGGGAGACACAGAATCAGAAACAGGCTCCAGGCTCTGAGCCATCAGCCCGGAGCCTGACACGGGGCTCGAACTCATGGACCGCGAGATCGTGACCTGGCTGAAGTCGGACGCTTCACCTGCGCCACCCAGGCGCCCCATAGAGCATGCTATTCTTGATCCCCCAGTGGTGAGTTCAAGCTCCACGTCCGGTGTAGAGAATACTAAAAAAATAGTAAATAAACTCCCCCCCCCTCAAAAAAAGTGATTTAAGTCCCCCAGGTAAGGGTGGGGTTTCCTTCTTACTAGTAAGATTTCCAACAGCAGAGCTTCTTAGGCTCGTGACTGTAAAGACCTAACTGTTTCAGGAAGAAAGCAGTTGGAAGGGGGGTGGGGGCGGTACCTGATTGGCTCAGCCAGAGAAGCAGGCAACTCTTGATTTCCATTCATGAGTTCGAGCCCCACATTGGGTGTAGAGATTATTTTTTAAGTTTATTTATTTACTTTTGGGGGGGAGGGGCAAAGAGAGAGAGAGGTAGAGAGAGAATCCCAAGCCAGCTGCTCACTGTCAGTGCAGAGCCCTATGTGGGGCTCCAACCCAGGAACTGTGAGATCATGACCTGAGCTGAGATAAAGAATCACAGGCTTAACAGACTGAGCCACCCAGGCACCCTGGTGTAGAGATTACTTAAATAAACTTAAAAACAAAAAGAAAGCAGTTTTCCCTCACTCAGAAGGTGGCATTTTGACCACGTGGCTTCCATGTCTGCCACTCTAGCCCCACCAACAGCCACAGACTTTGCTTTCCTGGTGGAGCTCATTTTTAGCTTCTCAAATGCAATCCACGCACACCAGCGTCCTACATGTCCAAGGACAGGGACCTGCACCCCACTCCCCAGGGCTGCAGAGCGTGTTTGGAAGCCACCTTCTGAGGCTCTGACTCTGTGGTGCTTGAGGCTGCTGCCCTGTGTTGGGCTGCGTGCCCTGTGCTCTCAGCCTTCCTCCTGTTCCCACGTCCTGCACTCAGGAGGGGACGGTGTTTCTGCCTGTAGTGGCCGCACCTGCCTCCTTCCTCTTTGATCTCATCGCACAGGTTCCAGTCATACTGACTTGCCTCTGGTCTTTGCAAAAGGTCGATTGCACACGCTGATCTCTCCACCAGGAGAGATGTTTGTGCGGCTTGCGCCTCTAATCATTCACCTTTGAGGATTCAGCTCAAATGTCACCTCTTAACCCGAACACATCACCCGTTGGTGCCCACGCATTCCAGCCACTGAAACACACTTGTATCTCCTTCACAGCATGCATAGACTCAGAATCCTGGGACGTTAAGGGCCTTATAGGATGGGTCCTGGCGGTGATGAGCTTGGCACAGCCGCCAACCTCATGGCTCCCTGCTGCCCTTGGTCAGACAGTGGCTGCACTTTCAACCAGGTGTCTTGGGTCTCACTCAGGTTCTTGAAGTTCTTGCTGCAGCTCTGGGCAAGCCTTGGAACTCTCCCCTACCTCTACCTCCTTATATATCCTGTTTCAAGGGCCCTAAGCAGATCTATGAATCTCATTTTTAGACCTCAGGGTCTGGGATGGGCTGCCAACCAGAAGATAGGGTCCTCAGCTTTCAGACTCCCCTGCTATAGCCTCCTAACCCAAGTCTACAAGTCAGGGGCCTGAATTCTAGGACACATACTTTCCACAGGACCCACACCACCCTTAAGAAGTGGAGAGGGTTTGGAGCAGTGCACCATTAGAGAGAGCTGGCTTGAAGCAACACCAAGATGCACCAACATGGCTGTCCCATCACCCCAGATCCAGACTGTGCACCACTGTTTGGCCGGGACAGGGCAGATCTCTGCTGCTGGGCCTGCCTCCACCCCAGGGCCTATGCAGGGCGGGCTGGACTGAGTGCACCTGACTCCTTCCATCCTGGGCTATGGAGGTTGGCATGAAGGATGAGGCAGCAGGACAGATGGCTACTGAGGTGGGAGAGACATTTCCCCAGCCCCACTCTGCACATGTAGGGACCTTTCAAGTGAGGTGTTCCAGGAGTGGACCTGGACATACTGGGGGACCTAGATTTGTGCGCTATGCAGGGTTCCTTGGGATGTGGCTCATAGTAGGGTCCTATAGGATAGTACCTAGGGTGGGCAGAGGGTCTGTGGGTTGGTCTGAGGGTTATATTGGGTTTTACTGGGGTGAATCAACAAAAGAATTGCTTCATTTCCTGAGTGGTGTGAATGATAGACAGTATTCACTGAGTGAGGTGGCACCTTAGTGGAGGGTGAGCCCCTGGAGGTCATTCTAGGTTAGAGGATGTCATGGGTATCTGGCTCATTGGGACTTCTAAGGTCTCTAGGCAAGGTGTGGGAATTGTAAGATCTTTTGATAGAACACTGGGGTATCTTGCACAGTGCATGGATGAGGCAATGAATCAATTATCAGGAGGTTTTCAAAGTGGAGGGCATGTGGGGAGTGGGCCTTAGGACAGACATGCGGCCATAGGAAACCTTAGCAATCCACTGGACCCCCTACCCACCAGCCACTGAAGGGCCTGCACACTCCTGAGCAAGATGTGAGAGTCCTTGCCCAGCCTGCCTATTCCCAACCAGACCCACAGAAAGTCACAAGACCACTGGAGGGAGGAGTGAGACAGTTTAATTTAGAAATAAGCTTTAGACAGTGTCCTGATCAGACAGGAGCTGAAGGGCCCAGCTTTGGAGAGAAAGGCCATCATCTAAGGGCCCCAAGGGGGGAGGAAACAGCATGGGAGCTGGTACGGAAAGTGCCACAAAGCTGGTCCTGTGCTCAGCAGGTACTGGCAGAGCCTGAGGAGAGAATGGGGTGAAGTCCTCATAGACCTGGTCACTACAAGACAACCCCCTCAGCCTCCGGAAACCCCAAGGCTGGGCTGGCTCAGGACAGTCCTGCCTTACACATGGCATAGCATTTAACAACTCAAATACTATGGCCACCCTCCCTGAGTGCCTGGAAGCCTCTCAAAGAAGCCAAAGAAGCCCGTCTCACCTGGAGTGATGAGTGGAGTGGCTCTCTCAGGTAAGGGGCTGAGGAAGGGACACATGAAATTAGTATCTCCCCCCCCCTCCGCCCCCCGCCCCAAACTTCTGTCCTTATCCCGCATCAAGACTTCTGGTGCCCCCTCCCCAGGGCTTTGTGGGGCTTTGTGCTCACAGCTCCAAACCTGTTTTCAATCCTCTCTCTTTGCCCCTCCCCTGCTTGAGCATGTGCGCAAGTGCCCTCTGTCTCTGTCTCTCTCTCAACATAAATAAAATAAACTTTAAAAAACAAAACAATACCAAGGGTTATAGCTCTCTCCCTATTTGGGGAGCTTTGGGGCTGATTATCTGTGAATAACAAATCCCACTGCAAGCCCAGGGGGCAGCCAAGAGGCTCTCCTCTTCCTCTGAATTGCAGAACTTTACCCCAAAATAGGTGTGCTCAGCTCCAGGTGCATACAACAGGGGCCCTATCTCACCTGTGCTTCTTATTGTACTTGCATTTGCATTTTCCACCTGGGAGAGGACGAGATGGTCAATGCAAAGAACCTGGGGAGCCTGGGCCATGCCCCCCCTCCCCTCCTCCCTCCCGCCCCATGCCCTGCCTGTCAGCCCACCACTCACTCAGGGCTATCAAGATTCCAGCGATGCACAGGAGCCCTCCAACAATCATCCCACCCAGCTGCAGGCTTTCCCAGTCTGGGGGAGCAGAGGGTGAGCTGGCACCAGCCTGGCTCCACTCCACTCACTCATTCAAAAGATATTTATCATCACCTGCTTGTACAAATGCACTTGCATTCCAGGCAACAAGAAAGACAAGTCAGTAAATAGATACACCGTATAATATCTGGTGGCAACAGCACTAGGGGAAAAACATAAGCAGAAGAGCACAGAAAAAGAAGGAAGGCTTTTCTGAAAGGTGGCACTTGAGCTGAAGCTAGGGGGGAGATGAGTGTGTAGGGATACTAGAGGACAGTGCCAGGCCAAGGAAGAGGAAACCCGCCTGGGGGGAGGGGGAGGTCGTAGGGTAAAGAGCCAGGTGCTGGGGAAGGCGGCAAGTGAAAGAGTAAAGGGAGGATCAGGTGAGATACCTGGGGACCCAAGAGCCTCCAGCCCCTCCCCCACAAATCTTCCTAAATATCCTGTGGGCACCTTCCCTCCTTGCTGGAATGAAGTTCTCCCAAAGATCATGTTGCATGTTGGCCTTTCACTCTTTTCATAGACCATGCTGACTCTGCAATCCCCAGTCCCAGCCTCATCTTGCTGCTCTTCCCTCATCAGCCCTCACTAAGCTCTAGCAAAGAGGTCCAGCCAGGATAGGCAAAGGTAGGGTAGGGGTGCGGGGTGGGGGTGAGGGATATCAGCTCTTACCATAATAGAAGGGACTGTCTTTATCTGTGGGAAAGGGGGAAAAGAAAAAAAAAAAAAAAAAAAAAGAAGAAGAAAGAATAAGGACCAGAACCAGGAGGCAGCATGTGGAGTCTTAGAGGGAAAATGTGGGGCAGCAGGAGCAGGGCAGTTTGGGGCCTCACTCACCGACCAGATCATTGGCTTCCAAGGCAGGCAGGCCTGGGTGGGAAAAAGCAGAGGGATCTGTATTAATTCGTGACACTGGTCTCAAAATGAATCAGCAGGCAGGACCTCAGCCCAGAAGGGCAAAGATGAGAACCAGCCTCATGGGTAGGGGGGACCCTGGAGTCACCAGTTCCCTTCCTTCTTCACACCTTTCCCAGCCCCATACAACCCTGGGATTTTCTCTCTCACCCCATAGCCATGCCCCCCCCCCCCCCCAACTCACCCTTCCTGCTATTTCTCTTGCTTCCTGCTAGCCTTTCTTGCATATGAAATGGGATGGCGTGTTGGTATCTTTTTACCCTCTTCTGAGAAGCTTCCTACACAGACTCTGGCCAGTGCCCTGTTAGGGAATAGGGAAAGCTTCTCTCTCTCTCTTTTTAAAGTTTATTTGTTTATTTTGAGAGAGAGTGTGTGAGTGGGGGAGGGACACAGGGAGAGGGAGAATCCCAAGCAGGCTCAGCATCGTCATTGCAAAGCCCAATGCAGGGCTCAAACCTATGAACCGTGAGATCATGACCTGAGCCGAAGTCGGACACTTAACTGACTGAGCTACCAGGCGCCCCAGGAAATGCTTCTCTCTTTATGCCAACAGATGGTTACTGTTTTCCAAAGTTCAGTCATGTAGGACAATTTTGCAATATCCACTTCCTAACTGTATTATTATTTCCTTAGTGCCGCTCTTTAAATTGATGGTTTAAACGAAAACACATTTGTTCGACATCAGCCCCCCCCCCCCCCCGCTTTGGGAGATGCTGCCCTCGCTTTCACTGCCTTGGTGGGAGGGTGAGTGGCAGCAGGTTCACTTCTGGGGGCAGGGGGGACTCACCTGCCAATGTGAGGAGAAGGGCCCGGGTCACTCTCTTCATGATACAGCTTCAGGACAGGGCTGCAGGGGAGGGGGACAGGCTGGGGTCAATTAGCCCTGACCTGCCAGAGGCTCACAGTCCCTGAGGCAAAGAACCAGGGCACAAATCCCAAGGGTGCACTTGGCTTATGAGGTGGTTTGGGGAAAGTTACCAATTTCTAGTAGTAATGACTAGTGGAGTGACATATATTGAGCTACTACTAGTTAAGTATTTAGAACAGTGCTTGCACGTAGTAAGTGGTTTGTTAAAGTCTTCGTTAAAGTCTTTAATCAGATGCCTGACTCTCGGTCAGAGGAGCAGAGCTACTGTGCTAACTCAGGTTTTGGTGCCTGCCTTCCTAACCCCCACTCAAAAGGCGAAGGCACCCTGAGCTATTTTTCCCAAAGGTCTGGGCCTCAGGCACTATCAGGATGAATTCCAAGATAGTCTCTGCAAAGGGCCACCCTGGGCTGAGCAGCAGAGGAGGGAGCAGCTGAGCAGGCGAAAGGTGGTGTTGGAGGCAGGTGAGAGCCACCCACCTCAGCCCCAGCCAGGGATCTTGTTCCAAGGCGGCCCCAAATTCCACTCTGAGGACAGACTGCTATTGACAGGAAACTGACAGATGGAAGGATTATTATTCCTTTTTTCCTTCTCCTTGGGGTGAGAACTATCCATGTTCCTATTTACTAGTTCGGAGGGTGGCTGTTTCCTTGAGATAAGACCCCTTCCAGCTTTCTGCATGTTGTTAGCTGCAGGCAAGCATAGGGATTGTCAGCTGTTGCAAACTGAAGCCCTTGTTGTGATATGCTGAGCCCAAAGGGCTGGAACTCTAATCCCCTCAAAACCACTGATCAGCTGTGTGACTCAGTGGGTTACTTAACCACTCTGCGCTTCAGTGTCCTGTAAAATGAGGATAATTAATAGTAACTGCAAAAGGTTATGATTGAATTAAATGAGTTACTATATGTGAAGCCTAAGAATAATGCCTAGCACATAGTAAGGAATGAAATGTGTGTCACGATAAACAAATACATAGCCCTTTACTTGCTAGGTGGAATGTTGCCTGATTCATGAATCGCTTAATAAAGCCAATTTGATACATAAATACATGCATACATACATAGGTCCTTTTGTCCTGTTTGGGAGGACTATTAATGTGCAGCTTCTGGACGTGGGAGTTTGTCGGCTTTTAACAGTCTCTGCAGCTAGCCCTCCTTTGGACTCGTCCCCCCCTCACCACCCTGGGATTCCTCAATAATGAGGGTTGCAACTCCACTTTACATACTCCTTAGCCAAAGGCTGGCTTCTTTTTCCTCCAGCCCCTAACCCTAACCCACAGTCCATATGATGGTGGTCATAGAGCAAGTAGCCTCCAATCCTCAAAACCCTCAAACATGCATCCTGTTACTGATGATACCCAGGCACCTGCCACCCCTTCCTCAGAGAGGTACCTCCTCCACCCTCACCCTTCTTCCCCCACCCTTCTGCTTAGCAGCCCTGAAGTCCTAGCAGACACTTGCTTACCTGCGAGCCAGGTGCAAAAGGCAGGTTTGGAGAGGCTGCTGGGGCTGTGTTGAATCCAGGTGGGTTCCGGCTCTTTAAACCCAGCAACTCCGCCCAGGGCAACAATGCCATCAGGCAGGAGGGAACTAGTCAGATTCCTTGAGATTGCTGTAGCTCCTTCTCCCCCCCCCCCCCCCCCCAATCCTCATGCTCTGGAGACAGCTTGTCCTGCCACACCCCATGCAGAGCTGAACTCCTAGGGGCCCCAGGGCCATCAGAGGCTAAGGTGTTGGTGGGAGAGGGATGGACCAGGTCTCAGACCTTTCTCTTGAGCAGAAGGTGGACTTGCAGCTTCTTTAGCTCACCTAGATCCTAAAAGAGGGGTCCAGAGGGGGCTGGGACACAGGATGTTTCTGGGTTCTTGTGTCAGCAGTGGAGGTTCCAGGACTTCTGTGTGGGGTGTAATCAGATCAACTAGGAGTCAGGGACTGGCCTGAGGCTCCATTTGCTCAATGGTCCCATTGCTCTTCCCTGGACTGGATGTTTATTGAGTGGGAGGGCTGGGGCTGGTGGCACCCTTCAGGATCGGCCACCCTCTGACCAGGCCCTGACACCCATTTATTCCAGGGAAACTGATGGCTGGGATTAGAAACCATCCTGGCCTAGGGTGGTTTCCTGCCTACTCCATGGAGTATGGGAGGAGGGATGGTACCAGGAGGAAGACTGTCAGCTCAGGCTGAAGAATGGGCTGCTTCCCTCTGTGCACCCCCATATCTGCCTCATGTGGTGCTGGCCAAACTCCTCTTTCGCCCCTCAGCCCACCACATGCTTTTGGCCTGTGCCCTTGGCCCTATTCTGCTCTCCCTCCTCCCCAATTCCTCTGTGTTTGTTGCTTTTACCACTGGATGGTGATCAGCTGAAGGCAGGACTGTTGCCTCCCTTAATCCCCATGGCCAGTCATAGACACCAATAAATAGATTTTGATTGAATTGTTGAATCAATGAGGACAAGAAGCCACCAGAGGCTCCCAGCCCAGTGCTGGGGGCCAAGGGGGAAAACAAAGCCTTGAAAGGCAGGGCGGGGAGGAAGAGGGAGGATATTCCTGGTGTGAACATTACACCTCCTCATGAAACCCTTCCATGGTGCTCCCTGTCTTCAAGATTCAGTTTCTACAGAGTTCAAGTCCAGGGGCTCTGGGGCCAGGAAGAGCTAGAGTTGATGCCCAGCCTGCCATTTGCTCAATGGGTGAGCTGAGGTAGCTCCTTCATCATCCTGAGTCTCAGTTTCCTTTCTTCTAAAGTGGAGTTAATGACAGGACTTCTCAAGGTTCGGGGTGTAGGTCCTGCCCTCAATATGTATTTGTGGAGTGAATGCCTCCTAGGTCTGGCATGAGGAAAGTTTGTTAACCTCAAGATTCAGAAGAACCACTAATTGCACATACTTTGGAGCCAAATCCAGGCTCTGTTAGTTAGTTGCTATGTGCACTGGAACAGCTAATTTCCCCTCTTCCTGCCTATTTATTCATCCATAAAGTAGGAACCATGACCGTGCCTACTCTGAATGTTTGTGGTGATGATGACATCTGATTGTGCTGCTCAGTTCACTGTAACTATAGCTGTGAATGGCCCTGATATACACACTGAGACATCTGCAGCATAAGAGGAAGGGGGTCATCAGTACAGACACCCCCGTGAAGAAACCACATTCCAGAGAAGAGAAAGGTCTTGTTCAAGGTCACACTGTGCCTTGGTAGCAGAGTGGAGCTCTCAGCCCAACCTATCAAACCCTTCGGTTGAGTTCTTCTGCCCCGTCAGGCTCCAGGGAGGAATAAGCAGAAATGAAGCAGGCATTTGTAAAAAGGGGACACTTGGAAGTCCCGAGTGCCCTTTTTGCTTTGGGAGGTCTCCAGGAAGTACGAAAAGGACCTCAGATCCACTTCAAAGGCCCTAGCACTTTTGCCCTATCCTGCACCTTCTGCCCTCTTCAGGGATCCTGCACTCCCATCTGTCACCATGAGATATTATCGTCTTTTTTTTTTTTTTAAAGCTTATTTATTTATTTTGAGAGAGAGTGAGCGAGAGAGAGCCGAGGAGGGGCAGAGAGAGGGGGAGAGAGAATCCCAAGGAGGCTCCACGCTGTTAATGTAGAGCCTAATGTGGCGCTGGAACCCATAAACCGTGAGATCATGACCTGAGCCGAAACCAGGAGCTGGACACTTAACCAAATGAGCACCCGGGTGACTCAGAGATTTTATCTTTTTTTTTTTTTTTAATTAAAAAAAAATGTTTTTTTTAACGTTCATTTATTTTTGAGACAGAGAGAGACAGAGCATGAACGGGGGAGGGTCAGAGAGAGAGGGAGACACAGAATCGGAAGCAGGCTCCAGGCTCTGAGCCATCAGCCCAGAGCCTGACGCGGGGCTCGAACTCACGGACCGCGAGATCATGACCTGAGCCGAAGTCGGCCGCTCAACCGACTGAGCCACCCAGGCACCCAATTTTATCATCTTTAACAGGTAGAAAGAAAACTTCACCTGAACCAGGTGGTATTGACACTAGTCCAAGGTAAAGGAGGGGTAGGTTGGGCCTGGGGCAGAACCAGGGAGAGGGAGCCCAGCTGCCCGTGTGACTTCTGCAAGCACAATGGTAAGTCACCACCTCATCTTTTCCTTTTGCCAAAACTGATTGTAGGTGTAAGGTGCACCGTGGCTGAGTGGTAAGTACATCTGTCTCCTCTGAGGGACCTCAAAGGCCGGCCATTCACTCAGTGGCAGGCAGCAATGCCTTCTATGCTGGAAGTGGTACAAAGTCAGTTCCCAGGTTAGTGAATTTATCTTCTAAGACTTAAAATCAGCACTTATGGATGGTCATGAAACTGGGTGTTGAAACCTTCAGAAGTTTTGCATGGTAAGAAGTGTTTACTAAACTGTCTTTTCATTCATTAGGAGTGTTTAGGATGAACAGTTGCCCTCTCGACTGAGAGGCTGGACTGGCAGTGAAGGCTGTTTTCAGGAAATTACTTTCAAGGCGGGCTGGCCACTTGCCCTGATTCTTGGACATGCATTCCTCATCAGAATCTCTGGAGCCATCCATTTGGGTCTGATTTCTTTCTCTTTCTTTTTTTAAATTAAAACAAAATTTTTTTAACCTGTATTTATTTTTGAGAGAGAGAGAGAGAGTGCAAGTGGGGTGGGGGTGGGGGAGGAACCGAGAGGGAGACACACACAATCTAAAGCAGGCTCTAGGCCGTCGCGGGGCTCAAGCTCACAAACTGAGAGTTCATGACCTGAGCCGAAGTCAGACGTTCAACTGACTGAGCCACCCAGGCACCCCGGGTCTGATTTCTTATCTACCAAATGGGAGAGCTGGGTAAGAGGCAACTGAGGCTTCCAGGAAAATCATACCTTGGGTGATGAAAGGCTGAGAGGAGTGGGTGATGGGGAGCCACACTTAGTTGGGTGGGTGCAGATGACAGCCTGGAGGTATTAAAGTTGAGAGAGAGAGAAAACTGTGATCCAGCTCTGAACACTTTCTTCGCCTTCTGAAGTCAGCGTTGCAAAGGATTACAAAGGAGGGAAGTCTGTTGCCAAGAGTGGCTGCCTGAGAATCAGCGCTGACGCCCAGGGTCCCGCCTCTGCTCATGTCAATCACTGCCACAGCTCCTTACAGTCCCAAACTGCTTTTCCCCTTCTGCAAGCACTAACTATTGCTCTGTGAAAAACAGAGATGCATCCTCAAACCATTCACTGCACTGAGAAAAGGTAATAAAACAGGGATTATCTAAGATTCACCAGAGGTAAAATAAAAAGGAAGTGGCTGGTATCTTGCCCGGCACATGGCGGGAGCACAATGTGTTTTTTCCTGCCTCCCAAGATGGAATGAATGTCACAGACATCAACAGGCTGATTGCCTATTTCGAGGGGGTCTGGTAGAGTAGGGAAAAGACCCCATTCATGAGGGGAGAGGTTACTCCAGTTGTCTCCGATGTTTCCTCCCTTTGAGAAATACACACTAAATTCCCACCCGGACCCACTTCCTGTGCTCTGTCTCCCTCGGGAGCCCCCCACCCTCCTTCCCCCCTCTCTGCATTTTCAGCAAGTTCCCCTATGTGTGTTCAGAGTGCTGGTCTGAGGCCTTTAACGATGGGGGTTGAGGGGGTGGAGCTAGAAACACAGCCTGTGTGAGAGAAGGTTGGCGGGTGTAAGGGTGCAAGGGCGGCCATCTGAAGGGTAGCGGCGGTCTGAGGGCTCACTTTTCGGGAGTCAGGCCTTGGCTGACTTGTGAGTTGGGGAGGCATCAGGAAGGGCCCTCTGCTGCGGATTCTAAGTGCCTTCTGGGAGCGGGGATAAGGAAACGGTGCGGGGGGGGGGGTCTCACGAAGGGGGATAGCGGGTGTGTGTGACAGCCACTCCCCTCAAGAGTGTGTGGTGAAGGCTTGGCTCTCTTAGGTCCAGTCAGGACTCTAGAAATGACTCCTCCGCGTCTAGAAGGCTCCTTCCTAGAGGCCATTCGTTACCGCCCTGCCACTTAACGCAAAGGACTGAGAAATAGCCAATCAGAATAGGACAGCGGTGGCTTCCAGCCAATCAGCATTAAAGGAGGGCTGTTGCCGCCCGGCCGCGGGTGAAGCCGCCTGCGAGGCTAGGGCCCAGGCAGTGTGGGCGGGGCTTTCTTGTAGCGGAAGCTGTTCAGTGCCTCTTCGCGAGGATTGGCTGCTCCGGTTCAACTGCGTGCTTGTCAAGGAGCCTCCCTATTACGCATGCGCAGTCACTCAGGTGCTCTTCGTAGCCCAGTAAAGGTCGGCGCTCCGGTCAAGTCGCGCAGTGTCTTTGTCCATCCATTCATACTTTCGCGCTCCCATAATGGTCACAGTCTTCCGGGAGTCGTGGTCTTCAGTAACTGGGACCCTAGAGGCTGAAGGATAGCTGGGGTGAAGGGACAGGACAGCTGGTGAGCCCAGAGCAGGTAAGGTAAGATAAGAGCAGGGCTGCCTGTTGAACAGGCAGGAGGAGGCGGGCTGCGTGAAGTGAGGCCAGAAAGCTGCCAGGGGACCTTGGACTTGGGGAGCGCTTCAAACTGAGGGCAAATTACAAGCCTGAAGACCTGTGCAAAAGGAGAGAAGCAGAAACGGTTCACCGAACTGAGGCCAGGCGACGTCACTTCTCGTTGACCTTTCATTGGGCTTCTGTTAGAGCTCAATAAGGCTTTCCTCCCACCCACAGGTCCACAGGCCCCTTAGCATCCTTGTCCAACTGCTGCTTATGTCTCTAATCAACCAGACTTCGCAGCTGTCCTCTTCATTTCCCAGGGGTACTCGATAGTCAACAACTTGTAACATAAACCTTCCTGTTGTCACACACACACACACACACAC